GACCTGTGGGAGGACTGTTGTTCACGTCACCTTGGTAACTTGTTAAAAGTACAGATTTCCAGGGACCTCCCTCAGAGATGCTTATCCAGGAGGGCGGGGCTGGGGATCCAAAAATCAGTTTGTTGGTTGGTTTTTTAAGTTTCTCTGGTGTTTCTGAGTCACAAGCAGGCTTGGGGACACCAGGTTACATGACCTTTGCCCTGCCCAAGGATGACCCAGCCCTGAAAGCTGGGGGCCTGGGGAGATTAAACCCTCTCTGGCTTGGGAGATTTATCACTCTGCAAAGGTGATGGAGGGGACAGGAGGCAGCTAGGACCAGCCTAGGTTTTGGTGGAGTGAGTACCCCCCTCTGTGAAGTGAATCATCCCAAAGAGCTCCTTCTCACCAGCCTGCATGATGCCTGGGTCCCACTGATTGGAAAGGGTAATGGAGGTGTTAGCTGCGGGACTCTATGCAAGGGCCTCTTCGGCAGGTAAATCTCCTGGAAGGGAGATTTACAGAAACCCTTCTCCTGGCCACCTTTCTAAACAAACTACTTAGTATTTCTCCTTACCCAGAAAGGATTCGCCTGTGAGGCAGGGACAGTGCACAAATGCAGGGTAAATGTATCCACTTCCCGCTGTAAGCCGTGGTACTGGTAGGAGAAGCTGGAGGCAGCTGGGAACGTGAGATGTAACAATCAGAGAACGGGCTGCAAGGGGGTAAGCATTCAGAGTAACCGAAGGAAGGGAGCCACCTCTGAAGTGGAGGCTGGCTCCTAAGGCAGGGGACACCCCTGGCCTTCACTCTTAGGACTGCAAAGGGGGCAAGCAGGGCTCACTGACGAGCAGAGTCCAGGAAGAAGGGGGACTTGGGAGAGAAGACCCTCCTCTCTTCACAAGCCCGCCGCCTCCCTCCCCCACCACACACACCCTCCCAGGAGCATTTGGCCCAGGAACACCCTCTCTGAATTGGGACAGCCTCCGCCCTGGAGCCCAGGGCCAGGCAGCCTGTGTACAGAGGGGCTGACTATGCCCCAAGCCTGGGCACCTGATGCTTTGTGTGGCTGAGCACCAGAAGCTCCACAACCACCTCCACCCCTCCCTCGCCAGCCCTCTGGCCCCGTTATCACGGTCTAAAAAAACAATTGCCAACTGATCCCTGGAGCCTGGAAGACTCCTGCTGGGTGATGATTTCATTCACACTATTTCCCTTTAAGCCCCCTGAGCTGCCTCATCTCCCATCAGCTCAGCTGCTACTGTAGCTAAACGGGATTTCTCATGGGAGGAGGGGAATCCTTCTGGGGGGGGGCAGAGGAGGGGAGTGCAGGGGGCAGGGGACAACCCCTGGTCGGGGTCAGAAAATTAGTGCCAAGAAAACCCACCTAAGGGAAAGTGTCCTCCCACAATCTCAGCTCTAGGAAAGAGAGCTGCAGAGCCTCCCGGCAGGGTGCCTCAACCTCCTTGGGCCACATAAACAGCCCCCCATACTGAGCACCTACTGTTTGTCCGATGCCCTGTGGAATGCTTTCCCAGCATTATCCCACAGCTCCCCTGGGAGGCGTATTTGATCTTCATCGTCACTTTTCAGTTGGGACACAGGTCTCCAAGGCCTCCTGTCAGTCCTGGCTGCATGGGGACCTGGGTGAGGGCTCTCTGCAGGTAATGCATGTAAGGCCCGCAGCGGAAGTGCATTTGGTGTGCAGACTGGGACCCGCAGTCCAGCTCCTGCCCCTCCTACCCTCCAGCTGCTTGTCTTACTTCAGAGATCCACAGAAATTAATCCTGACCCATCTCCACATAAACCACCTGACTAAGAGGTGTTAGAGCTAAAGATCAAGGGCAGAGGCCACCTGAGCACCACACTCAGGTATGTAACAGACTTCCTCTGTTGGGATACTCTTCCCGGAAGCCGGCACCAATCCCAGATCTCTCTGTTCACTTCCTGATCCTCAGTCTGTCTCCAAGGAGGGGTAGAACAACCCTCCACACCCTCCCCGTAAATAACTCTGGTCTGCCCTGTTGATTGCTCAGAGATCTTCCTTTTTAGACTTCTTATTTCTGTCACAAAAATTCTCAGTTTCTTCAACATCATAGGGATGCTTTCCTAGTCCATATTTTGGAATAAGCCATATCATGGGCTGAGAGACCCAGGATGGAGGGGGTCAGAGATTTTGGTAAGTGTGCCCAGAAGTAGGCGAAGTTAACCTCGCAGGGGTGATCTGTGATGGGGAAGGGGAAGGGTGGGCCTGGTGCCCACCAAGGGGGTCTAATGGGGAGGATGCTTCTCCAGCCTATGGGATCAGGGATCAGAGGACTCAATACCTTACACTAAAATTTCCACACACTAATGACAGTGAGGAAAAGAGCCTCCATTTATCCTTCCTGCTGCACTCAGGCTCAGGACGCCTCCTGAGGGTGGGTCATAGAAAAGGGCACACTCAGGCTGAGAGATAAGCTTACTTGTGTGGGCCTCTCCAGGTCAGGGAGTCACACCTGACCATAGCCTGGATGACAGCTAAATGCCAAAATGCAGGTTTCCCTCAGACCCAGGAGCCCTCTGAGCTATGTTTCCTGTGTAATTACAGAGGCTCTGGCAGGTAGGATCAGAAAAACCATGGTCCGACGCAGAGCCCGATGCACTGTGAAGCTTACAAAGCCTGAGCTCCAAGGCCCCTCACCTGCACAGGCTCCTTCCACAGCCCCCTTCTCTTCTCATCCTAGATACACATTCACTTCTGTACCCCGGATGGTGCTCTCTTTTCTCCATTGTGTAACTTCAGGCCTTGTACAGCCTGGAGCTTCCTCTAGCCTGAGGGACTCACCGTCGTGTATAGTCTTCCTTTACTGTTCATGGCAATGAAGAGGGCGCTTTTCACTCCAAAGAGACTCACCACACCTCGCTCCACTGTGGAAATCTCCAGCAGGCCTGACAAGGAAACGGAGGCAGTGATACCTGAGGCTTGTGCAAATCAGGCCAGGCATCAATCTAAAGACAACCTTGCAAGGATATCTGAGCCCATTGCCCTGCTCCTAGAAAGTCAAACCCTCCATCACCTCCATTCCTGACTGCTCTAATCTTAGGAGATCCAGCAGCTGGATTTGGCAAGTCTTGGAACTATACTGTCAAAAATCCAGTTCTGCAAGGGAATGTTGTGACATCAGAGTTAGGGATCACAGTGGCCACGTAGGTATCTAAAGATTAGCTTTGAATCTGGGCTGTCACTGACTTAATTGCATGGAGTACTTGACTCGGGTAGCAAAAATAAATTCTGGTTAGTTTTTATAAAAATGCTCCCTCCATGTTTCAACGGATTTCAGCCCATTTAATCTTGCAAACGCTGCAGCCACATAGAGGATGATGGCTTGCCTGGCTCCTGCAGACCCCACTCCCTCTTGGATAGGAGAGCCCATCTATGCAGCAACGCATCAACTTGTAGAACACAGGTCTGGGGACAGAGGGGGCAGGGTGAAATAAAAAGAAGGATGTGCTTCAGCCAGAAATTTTGCAAACCACTTGCCTTTCCTTCTCAAAGGGAGAAGCTAAATAAAAATAAGCTTGTGTCTCATTTGGTCCAAGGATCCTCACTTGTTCTCCCCATCCTGGCCTTACAGCTTCCCAGGATGACGGTTTCCAGTGGTCTTTTATGGCCACGGATGGGCTGTAATGCTGAAGTCATTAGTGCCACAGGGCTCCGTGGGGTGATGGCCAAGCACACTGGGATGCTTGGGCCTCAGCATATTGAGCCTGTGCCTGGACAGGGTCAAGGTGAGTCTGGGGAAGGTGGCGCTTATGGGCATCCAAGTGGGGAAAACCACTTCTCCCCCCTTCATCATGGGACCCCATGCATCAGAGCAAGGCCCCTTCATCTTTTAGCCCTGCCTGAGCCCAAGCCCTCAGCTTCCCAACTGGCTGCAACTGGAACTCACTGTAGGGGTTCTCCTCGTGGGTCCCGCTGATCCGGCCGTCGGGGGGCACCTGAAGGTGAAAGCCGATGCCCACGTTGCAGTAGAGCCTCCGCTGCCGCTTGATCCCCACCAAATAGCCACTTTCCCAATTGACCCCGGCAATCTCTCCAGCTAGCCCAGCTCGGGACCTGGACAGCAGGGTGCCCCAGCCCCTTGAGTCCAGCAGTGTGCTGTTGGCGCGGGTGCCCGTAGGTGAGGGCACCACAGTGCCCACTATGACGCCCAGGAAGACCAGAGCCTGCAGCGTGCCCTGAAGACGTCCTGCTCCCCGGGACATAGTGATGAACAGCCTCTGTCCCAGGGCCATCCACCTTGCCTCTCAGGCACGTGGTCAGAATTAATGGCCCTAAAAATACCGCCCTTCTTGTTTTTCTCCCCTCGGCATGGCGGCAGGGGCTTATTTTTGGAAGGCAGATGAAGGCTGCTGACATGAAACCAAAGCCTGCTTCGGGCACTTGGGTCGGGAGCAGAGGGACCCAGGCTGAGCCGCGGCTGGTAGGGACCATGGCTTGGGGACGCTGTCCAGTTCGCCGGCTTGCTCTGTCCTGAGTTGATTATATTTGATTTGACCTATCTTTATAGTTCAGCAGCCCGGCCCTCCCCTCCACTGATCATCACCCTGACGTCAGCTGGCCCCGCTCACTTATCCAGGGCTGTAACATTAACCTGCTCCTGGGCTGGCTCCCTCCCCAGACCCCCATCACCCTCCCCATGTCCCAGGGATTCTGGGAGTCACTGTCATTCCAACTATGAGGCAGGAATGAAGTGAGCATCTCTGAGGGAGGGAGGACTTGGCCGGGGGCCCAGGGGAAGAGGGAGGCGAGAAGCTACCCAGGACCCAAATTGGGCAGAAGTTCTTGGCCCGAGAACACTGGCTTCTTTATTTAGAGGGCAAAGGGTAAAGACAGGGATAGGGGAAGGCTTGGTGGCAGGTGATGACCAGGCCTATGAATTACCCTAGAGATCATTTCATGGAAAGAGCTCACAGTTCAGAGCAGAGAGGCTCGGGATACACTGAAAGTCTGGACCCTTTTAGCAGGACAGGACAGAGACTGGGTGGGTGGAGGAGTTGTTCAAGGAGCGTTAGGGTCATTGGGGAGAGAGAGCTAGGGTCTGGCTTCTGCTCACTGTCCTGGCCATGGCATTCACACCCCCGCTGCACCGCCAATGGGGCGGAAGTTGTCTCTGGCCCCTGGCATAGCCCACGGGCCATTTTCCCACCCGGGCTCACCCTTTGCATCTCACCAATATTATTCCCATTTTTCAGACAAGAAAGCTGAGGCATAGAAAGCTTAAGTGACTTGCCTGAGTTACCAGAGCTAATAAGTGGCAAAGCCAGAACTTACAAAGTCAGCTTGAGTCCAACCTTTTAACCTCTGTATGATTGCCTGTTAGTAGAAATTAGATTTACAGCCTGGCCCCGAGAGTCTACTGAGCTCATTACATGCCAAGAGTCTATCATAGAATCATAGAATTATGTCAATAGCACAGCATGATTAACCCACACACAGGCTGGAGGCTGCAGGCAGCTTGGGGAAAGGTCCTAGGATGTGTCCCACTGCTCAAGACCCCACTCCCTTCTTTCGGATTCTGAGTCTCCCACTTTGGCCTGGATCTCAGCTTCCAATCTCTGACTTCTGCCTCTTTGTCTAGTTCATTTGGAGTGGTGCTTTGGTGTGAATTTCTGTCAAGCCACACATTCTAGTTTCTCCCTCTCAGATCCCCTGGAGCCTAGACATCTTCTGTCATTGCTATCAGCTGGTAAACTGAGTGGGCAGCAGGGTGTGTACCCCTGCTTAGTATCACCTTTACCAGTGAACCCCCAGCTTCTGACCATCTCTCCCCTCCCTGTCACCTCCATTGCCTTATGCCCAGCCTTACCATTCCCACAACAAGAAAAGACTGGCACCTTGTGGGCACAGATTGAGTCTATCACGTAGGACCTGTTGGAAAATTGGTAAAAGAAAGAAAGAAAGAAGAAAGAAAGAAAGAAAGAAAGTAAGAAAAAGAACGAAAGAAAGAAAGAAAGAAAGAAAGAAAGAAAGAAAGAATCTCTATGTAGAGTAGGAGAGTCATGAATAAAGCAAAGACAGAATTGTCAAAAAACAAAAAAAAAGACCTTCGTTTTGGATTTCTAGCTTGATTGCATATATTTAAGCTTTCATGTACTCATATGCAAGAGCAGTGGAGACACTCTATCAATGATGTTCACTTTGGAACCTTGTATGAATTGTTTGCTGGACTGATTTAGGGAAGAGGCATCCCAGAGCATGTTAGATGGTCAGGAGAAGTTAGTTTGAAATTAACACTTGCCTTGGATAATTGGAGAGTTGCTCATCAGCAGACGTCAAAATCTCTGTGGAATTCTTCTTGGAACCCATCCACTTTGGGACCTTCTTAGAGGAGAGATTAAAGTGTAACTGGGTCCATGCTACATATCAATAAAAATGGTAAATCTCTAGATTCACCTCCTCCCAGATTCTTCTCTGTGCAGAGATTGTGGTTGGTGTCTTATAAAGCAATGGGCTTTGGAATGGGGGACATCTGGATTTGAATTCCAACCCTACTACTTATTAGCTGTGTGACCTTGGGGAAATGTTGAGCCTCTCTGAGCCTCAGTTTTTACATCTGCAAAATGAGATCATTACTTCATAGGGTCATTATAAGGATTAGCAATAATGTATGCAAAGGGCCTGGTACATAGCACAACATAACTCCTCGCCAGTTTTTCCCCCAAGTCTTTTCTCTGAAACATGTTGAAAATCTCTTACCCAACTAAAGGAAAACAAACCCAAAGTGAGAAGGACCCTCTCTCATCTCAAGGAGTGGGAGGGACTCACGGGCTTCCAGTTTTTAACTGCCCGTCACCAGAGCATATGTTGTGATGGCTGTTAACATATGCAGAAGCAGGCAGCTCAGATTCCTAAAATATTCTGAAAACCAGTAATAGCCTTGGTATCGTCCCCTGTTAAATATAAAACTTAAGTAATTCATTCTATTAAAAAGCCTGGGTCTTATTTTTATCAGGTGATGTGATGAGGCCCTGTTCTAAATGCGCCTCCTGGGCCTGTCTCTATAGCAACCCCACTGTGCTGGTATATCCATATATTTTTCCTGAAGGCTAATTAAGTTGACAACTGCTAAGGCTTCTTGGTTTACCAGGTTTGCACTTGACCCTTCTCTTGGGGCTTAGGGACCCCTATGGATGTGAAGTGATAAAGAAAAGAGTAACAGGTGGAGGCCTCTCTGTGGACCCCTGTTTCAAATAGTTGCCCAGCAGCCTTTGGGGTTGTCAATCACTGTTTCTGGATGAGCCAAGAGTTAGCGGAAGTGAGTGGGAAAAATGTTAATGTTTGTTTCTGTCCATGACGAGGTCCTTGTCCCCGAGTGGGGTGCCATGCAATCTAGATTGGTCAACTTCTTTTTTTTTTAAGTTTTTTTATTGGGGAATTGAAGGATGGGAACAGCGCTGGGGAATCGGGGGAAAAGGAATAGACAAGTTGCTGTCCTTTTGTTCTTCAGTCTAGTTGTGGAGGACATTGCTTCACTGGCCCAAGTTGGCACGATCATTGCGCTCTTCCCAGGCGAGGCAGATCAGTCGCCAGCTTCTGGATGGCCGCTCACAGCGGCTGCTGGCTGCTCACTCTGGCTGCTGGCTACACACAGTAGCCCATGGCAACCCACAGCAGCAGGGGCGGCAGCCTATACCGTCGCCGGCGACTCATGGCAGCCCAGCTCCAGGTTGAGCTGTTGTTCAGCATCTGAGCTGTAGAGGGCAGTGTCACTGGCCCTCATATGTGGGATCCGAACCGGGGCCCTCTGGCGTACCAAGGCAGCTCTTAACCAATGCACCACTTGGCTGGCCCTAGATTGGTCAACTTCTACCACATGTGGAACTCCTTCTGTTGCAGCCAGGTGGCTTGCCTTCTGTGATCCTTGTTTATTACATAATAAAGGTCACACACCTCAGGAGTGACCATAACGGAAAGCACAGGAAGCTCATGGATTATGAAAAGCTGTGTGTAGTTGTACTTTTCACATTTGATTTTGCAAAAATCAGATTTGCCTTTTTCTATAGATGATTTGGAAAATACAGAAAATATTGAGTTGCCGGAAAAGTCATGACACATGTTTGCAACAGATGACACTAGTTCATTTTTGGAAGTACTAGAGTCATTTGCAGCTATGTTATTCCTATGTCATTTGACAGCTGACAGTTCTAGCTCCATTCTCAAAAAAAATTGAACGATTTGGTTGAGTTTTGGAGATTTTACAACAAGTTGAAGATGGAAGACCAAACTGTGCATTTTTGCCATATTTTACTGTTTTACTTCCATAAAGGGAAGAACGTGTGTCAAGCTTGTGAAAAGTTGCATAAAGTTTATGGTGACCGTGCTCTACAAGAATGTCAGTGCCAGGCAGGTCAAGTGGCTCAGTTGGTCGTGTGAGCTCTGAGAAACAGGGTTGCTGGTTTGATTCCCGGCCCAAGCTGAGCTGCCGCTGAGCTGCCCACAGGTGACAGGATGGCTCAGCTAAACACACACACACACACACACACACACACACACACACACACACACACACAAAGAACATCAGTGCCAACGATGGTTCATGAAATTCTTCCGTGCTGGTGATTTTAATCTCAACGATGCTCCTCGGTCAGGGAGGCCCACCGAGGTTGATGATGACAAAATAAAGGCATTAATCGAGTCAAGCCCACGTTACATGACATGAGAGATTGCAGAAACATTGAACGTCCATCATTCAAGCATTCACGACCACCTGAAGAAGAAGCTGGGATACATAAGTAAGCTCGATATTTGAGTTCCACATGAACTCAAAGAAGTTCCACTTGACAGCATAGAAACATCTGCAATACACTCATTAAACGTGAGGAAAACGATCCTTTTTTGAAGTGACTGATAACTGCTGATGAGAAGTGGATTGTTAACAACGATGTGGTGTGCAAACGGTCTTGGTCCCGACGTGATGATTCGCCTCAAACAACATCGAAAGCAGACATTCATCAGAGAAAGGTTATGCTCTCAGTGTGGTGGGATTTTAAAAGTGTCATGTTTTCCAAGCTCCTACAAAAGAACCAAACAATCAATTTGAATGTGTATTGTCAGCAATTGGACAGTTTGACCGAATCCATCATCCAGAAATGTCCAGAGCTTGTTAGTTGTAAAGAAGTTGTGTTCCATCGTGACAATGTGAGACCACACACGTTTGATCACCTGACAAAAATGATTGGAGTTTGGATGGGATGTGTTGCCACACCCACTATACTCGCCTGACCTTGTGCCATCAGACTTCCACTTATTTCGCTGTCTTCGAAACTCCTTGTATGG